ATAAGGTCCGGGATCCGGACGTCCATTATCCGGAATGATCTAAAATCCGGAACTCAAAGCCACAAATATTTATTTTTGTATGCTTTACGCATGCGCATTTGATTTTTCCTTCCATAATAAAACATGTAGAGATTTTCACTTAAAAATTCTGATTCTTAGTTTCACTTAGGCACTAAATAAAATACCTCGTTATGGAAAAACAATCATGTAAGCATAAATTTATGAGATTAATAATTTGGCTCCGTAGCTGAGTATCTGCTTGGCATACATCTCAAACCCCAACACTCACCTATTTTACATCCCTGACGCCGACCTGGCGAGTCATTATTTATTATATTTTGCTTTCATCACCGCATGTTTATCAATCCATGACAGCTTCAGTAATAACTCATGCAGCGATGTCTATACTTTTTTTCATATTCGGAACACTGAAATAGCAAGAGTATGGCAACCTTTAATGCTAACATTACGCTTGGCGATGATTATAGATTTTTAAATGCTGTAAGAAATGTTGACGAGGAAAAATTCAACAAAATTTTCATATGCTAAAAATAGGTTTTATTAATGAAACTCATAGGCCAAAAGATTACATTTAGTGCTATTTTAATTAAGAATAACTGATATGTTATTCACCGTAAACCAAGAAGCGCCGGCAGAATATGTCGACACTGGACGGCAAAATTAAGGGATGAGAAGTTTTTTATGATTTAGGGAAAGCACTGGGATCCAAAGTTTAGGCGCGGTGACAATTTAGAACTTAGGAAAGCTCTTTGTAGCAGAATTTAGGACCCGTAGAGACTGCACCAGGCGGTATTTAGCGCCTTAATAGATAAAGCCTTAAATATATGAGTTTATTTATTCAGGACTCAGAATGGTTTTAAGCATGTGCAAGAAAGAAACGTAGGTATAGTAAATAACTAAACTAATACAATTCAGGCTTAATTCAGTACGCAATAGGAGCAAGACAAAATTTAGCTGAACAACTTGGCTTTCATCGCCTATCTTGTGATACACAGCCAATAATGTATAACAGACGCTATTAAGCTGGACTAAAATTATCTTTACTAATTCTAAAGCATTTCGTGGGCCCACCAGCGGCCAAGCGGTAAAGTCGCTGAACACTGGTAGTTCGGTTCGAATCCCTTGAACGGGCTGGCTGCATGGGCGTTTTCGTGGTTTTCCCCATGTGTAACGTGTATACGAGCCAGTTTCCTTTAGAAAGTCCTCCACGAAGGCATCCCTTCCCTTAGGCAGGCCCACCAGCCGCCGAGCGGTAAAGTCGCTAAACACTGGTAGTTCGGTCCGAGGTTCGAATCCCACGAACGGGCTGGCTGCATGGGCGTTTTCGTATTTTTCCTCGTGTGTAACGTGTATACGAGCTAGTTTCCCTTAGGCAAATCCTCCACGAAGGCATCCCTCCCCTTAGGCAGATAGCCCTCGAGGCTTTGCCATAATCACACACACACACCCTCCCCTTAGGCAGATAGCCCTAGTGTGCTTTGTCATAATTAAGAAAACCGAACCAAATCTAAAGCATTTCACTTAATGTAGCAGACTACGCTGCTCCCTGATGTATCAATTTGTTCCAGCTCATTATTTTTTGCAGACTGTCATTATTACGGGAATTTTATAAAAACTGAGCTTGAACTTTCGATTATGTCGAAAAGAGTTTCCAATTCTGGAGCTGCCAAAGGATCTATAATCCATCTCAAAATTATGTGAGGAGTATAGCATTGGAAAGTCAATTGTATTTGGCATAAGAAAAAAGGAATTTTTTGAATATTTTGTGGAAGCAACTTAAACAACTTACATTGAAAGAAATGTTTAATAAAGTAAACAAATAAATATTAAGCTTTTTTTCGTAAATTTTGATACCCTTTTACATCATAACTGTTCTTTATTTCATAAATTACGATTTCATATTTTTAATTGTACAATTTCTGCATGCCATCTTACCAGATTTAAATTGATGATCTAATATCCGGAAAAATCCCTAATCCGGAATCGCCGAAGTCCCGACGAATCCGGACTTTGTACTGTGTATATTTCTCTTAATCAGCGGATTTTATGAAGTTCTTTCCCATACTCAAAATATTAATTATTCTCCAATTCAAGATATTATCTTTTTTATTTAACACTTCTGGTAAAATTAATTGCTCTGAAAATAAAATATAAACACTTATATGCTTATGTACAAACAACGTTTTTATTAAAAATGGTTACAAAAAATCAAACAATATTAAAAATAAATTTTTTAAATATTCATCAAGCATAAAAACATGTATCACACATAACAACTTAACATTCAGGCACACTTATTTTATAAGAAACTCATTAATGATAATTAATGATGCATTATCCGAAAAACTTCCAGCAATTCTATGGCAAAAATAATTTCAGGGTGCAAGTATAATAACTTTGCACAGCGGGATCGTTTTGGGAGGGTAATTCATTAAAATCGAAAGAAGCGGCCGCGTTTCGCTTTTCAGTCAACATTTTCTTTCCTTGACACCTTCAATTATTTATTCTTACTTTTAACGGAGTTTGCTTTTATTTTTTCCCCTTTGAATGCTTGTAGATAATGCCTTAAAGTCTGCAGAATAATGAATTTTCTGGTAAACTTCATAAATAAATAAAGGAAATAAATAGTTATTTGAAGTAATGTTTTATGAAAGTCTCTTAACTTGCGATTTTTTTACTTGGTTACTGTCTGTCAAGTTAAAATACGTCAATCTTGAAAAAAAAAAAAAAAAAAAAAAAAAATCTCGAGTTATATTTGATTATTTTACGAGTTCTAAGGAGCCCCATTTCATTGCCATTTTTTTATTTTATTAATACTATGTTTGCAAAAAAAAAAAAAAAAAAAAAAAAAAAAAAAGGAATCGTACAAATGCCTTGAAAATTAGAGTGGTTAACCTGTGTAAACGAACAAACAGAAGTTAACATTATCATATCAGCAGTGCTATCTTATTAGAAAGAAAACTTACAAAAGTCAGGATGTCAATACTTACAATGTCATTTCTAATATATATTTAAGTGGTTATTCATGATGAATATATATATATATATATATATATATTGTGGGTTCTTTAGTCTCGAAATCACAATTCATATTCAAACAAAACACATTTAATGAAACATTAATACATCTATAAGATCGTTCATCTATTAATACAGCATCTATAACACCGTTTATCTATTAATACAAGATCTATATCATCTTACATCTCCTCTAATAAAACAAAGTGGCGAGAGTTCTATCAATTTCACTCGTGCAGTCAACAGCTAAAATTTAAACAGCGCGCGAGGAAAACTATTAAGCTATAGATTTAAAATCCCACATTCGGCCTTCCTGCTATGCGGCGACCTCGACGACATTATTCTACTAGTGACATCATAAATCATTGGTCATCTTACATCATCGTTGTCTTCAGTAAAAGAACCATCATCAAGAATAAGCCGAAACCTGAAAAAAAGTACGAAGGGAGGGGAAGACTGTATGTGCTAAGGACTATATTGAAAGGAAACATCTTAATTGTCCTTCATCTTTGCAACTATAACATCTTCAACAGTCCCTTCTATTTTTCAGAAATCTTCAATTAAGTCAAAAAATATCTTCAATCTTTAACATTTTTGGACAACTTCATTTCATCTTAAAAATAACATTAACTGAAATAAAATTCATTATTAGGTGAAAAATCACAGTTTGGTTATCAATTGTATCACTCCAGGTTTAAATGTCATAACAGTATTATTTTATACATCTTCTTCTGCTTGGGTCCATTGTTTTATGTACTCAGCGCATGTAGTTGTTTTTGTAGGTCCTTCATGATCTCCTTCTTTTACAACATCATAGGTGTCATTGTCTTTTATTTTTACAATTTTATACGGGCCTAATACTTTGATTTTAACTTAAGATTTGGTCCAAATTGAGTTCTTTTGATGGCTACTAAATCATTAATTTTATAACATTTTGGAGAACGTCTTCGAAGGTTATATGCTTTCTTATTTTCTTCCTGTACCTTAAATATTTGTTTCTTCGCAAGTTTTTCTCTGTAAGTTTCAAAATTATTTTGAATTTCTGCCTCAATTATTTCTTTAAGTTTAATATCTTCTTTAAAATTCATTTTAGTTCCAAATAATAACTCAAAAGGCGTAGTGTTTATGCTTCTGTGATAAGATGAATTAATTAACTGCTGCACTTCGTTAACGTATCTAAACCATTTCGTCGGATCGTCTAATGATAATTTTGAAAGAATAGATATTATAACTTGATTTAGGCGCTCAATCTGTCCATTGGAACGAGGTAATCCAGTAGTAATTAAATGATGTTTGATATTTTCATTGGTACATTATTCTTTAACCCGCGAGCACACGCATCGATCCGACGAACACGAGAACACGCGCCGGGTATGTCATACCCGAATAAAAAGTTTGTAATTAAAAATTTGCCAAATAAAATTAATCGGTTTTTAAAAGAAATTAAAATGTAAAACCAAGTTAATACTTCATTTTAGACAAAATATGAAAGAATAAGGAGAGGTAAAATTATTTACTTACAATTTTTTGAACATTGTTTACAAAATGAGGTCATATGTTCCATACATATACTTTGCTACAATTTTCACAAATGAATCTAGTCTTTCTATCTTTTTTCTTGGGGCACTCTGTACACCTCTTGTAAGTAATTTCAGTTTTTTTTTTTTTTTTTTTTTTTTTTTTTGGGGGGGGGGTTCATTGTTAACATGTTCATCGGTGGTCAGTGTTTGTCTAGAATCAGGAACTACAGATACTCGTCGTCGTTCATTCTAAGCACTTTCTATTAGCTGCATCCCTAAGGCTTTGAGAAAAGTACGCCTGGTACGGTATTCCGTTGGTGGTTCCTTCTTTGATAGTAGAATTATTCTTGCATTAATGGCAGCCACGTTTAACACACTGAAAAGAAAATCACCATAGGCCATCGACGTGCTACTCTTGCTGTAGAATACGCAGCTGCCATCTCATCTACAAACATCGACTGCTCCTTTTGTCATGTTATAGAATGTAATGATTTCAGGCTTTTTAGATTCCCCAGTAGATTCATCGATTTGATCGCCGGAATGCATTGTGGATAACAGGATCACACTCTTATTTTTTTTCGGCACATAAGATACAAGTGTTGCTTCTTTCTGAAAACCGAAAATTGAAGAATATACTTCTCTTTTCTTTGCCAGAAACTCAGGTGGGATTTCTCTCTTATTTTTACGCATTGTACCTACTATCGTAATTTTCTTCTTTAGGAGATCTTGAGATAATTCATATCCCATATACCAATTATCAACTGTTAAATTTCGACCAGAGTTGTATAAGGGCCTTATTAAACGTTTGACAACTTCGCTTGCACCCATTTTCAACTTGAAATGGCCCATCTGGTTGTTTACCAGCATAAATTTCCATACTCCAGGTATAAAATACCCTTGCGTCTACAAGAGCAAATATTTTTATGCCATACTTTGCTGGCTTGTTGGGCATATATTGTTTGAAGGAACAACGACCTCTGAATGATTCCAACTTCTCATCAATGGTCACATACTCTCCTACAGTATATAAGCCTTTTGGCAATTTGTGACAAAATTTCCAAAAAATTCTCTGATCGGAGCTAATTTATCAAGTCTTTTCTACTGGGACGATCTCTAATGTCATCAAAACGGAGGCATCGTAAAAGAAAGAGGGAATCGGTTCACTGACATTGTTTCCCGAAATATGTCCATTCCCGTTCCGTCCTGTTGCCCACAAATCTCTTACGTTCACATGGGATGATTTATAAACTCCACATAAATACAGCAATCCAATTAAAGCTTTGATTTCCAATTCATTTGTTGATTTCGTACTCATCCCGTTCACGAGTGAAATTTCCACGTACTGAATCAATATAAATATTTGTATTTATCGAACTACATGTTTTAACATACTATCTTCATCGATAAGCAGTGACCAAGGAATCTAAAGGTGTTGAGACGTCTTTAGAATACTTTGTATTTCCAGGGAGTTTAGTTATAATATTTTTGGCGCCAATTCTAACATTAGTCCGGAATTTATTTTTGTTCCATTTTACTCCATTTTTTCCCAACATAAAACTCATTGCTACATTCAGAGTTTCATTTTCTGTTTCTGTATCTGAATCACTACTCTCTATGGATGAATCATGATACTATTATATTCTTCGTGATCAACATCTTCATCGTATTCACTAAATGAATCCTCATCAGAAGAAACTGTTTCAAAGAAGATTCTCAATCTTTTCATCTCTTCATCGTAAGGAATATACGGCGCCATGCTTACAACTCAAGAAAAACCTATACTAAAAGCTTGAAAACGAGAAGTGCGAAGCGACTCACTGAGAAACGCGAGTACACACGCGCGCGGTATGACATGGCCGAACAATGCTGTTCCTAAAAAAACCGTTGCAAACCTGTCAACCTCACCTCAGGAATTTCCCCCATTTAAGTATGTGACCTTGAACTCAGCTACATCAAGTTTCGTCCTTTTATGAAAGAATGGGTGAGAAATATACAAAAAGAAAAATGCGCATGGGTATGACATACCCGTTGCGTGTGCTCGCGGGTTAAATTCGTTTGGTGTAAAAGCAGTACCTCTGTCTGAAATGATCTGAGAAGGATTTCCAAATATAGTTTTCCGTAAATTCAGTTTAGAAATTGTTTCAACTGATGACGTAGTTTTAGTAGGATATAACCAGACAAATTTCGTAAAACCGTCGATAACAGCCAAAATATACTTATAGTTTTTACTTGTACTTTCAAGTGGACCTAAGCGATCAATATGATAAGTATATAACGGTAAACCTTCTTTATGTAATGGATGTAGAAAACTCTCTTGTTTCCCTCGTTCGCGGTTTAATAAAATACATTTCACACAATTTGCAATTTTCATACAATTTAGGAATAAAATACGATTGTTTCAGCAATTCCTCTGTTCTTTTAACACTCACATGTCCCTTTTCATGAGTACTTTTGATTATTTCCGTCTGCATGCCAGACGGTATAACTGGAACTTCTCTACCTTCAATAAATTTGTACAAAAGCCTATTTCTCTCAAAGTAATTTTCATAATTTGATGTTTTAAGAATTTCTTTTATTGCCCTAATCTCATCATCATCATCCTGAGAAGCTTTTAATCTGGATAAAACAGTATCCGTTGATATACAAAAGGCAACAGGATTTCAACTCAATGCATCCACATGAGCCATTTGCGAGCCAGATCTATGCTCTATGACATAACTGAATTCTTCTAATAACAGACGTCATATGACGCAAAAATATAACACACTTTATGGATCAATTTCTTGTAACTAACTGGTATAACGTGAAAATTGATATATTCCATTCGATGCCCTTTATTGCGCTTTCGTTATTTTTACTTTTCTTTCAAATATCAAAATGTGTTAAGTAAAATGCGTTTTTTGTCATCCGCATAATATTGTGATATTCAATTTTTTAAACAGTAGTTGCTAAACTCACTTAGATAATTGAAAAATAATAACTTTGGGTTCATAAACCTTAACTGAAAAATGAAATTACCAAGAAATCCTGTAATTCTTGTTAAAATTAATAAATATATAGACAGAATGCTAATAAGCTAACTTTTCCATCATTTTTAACCATATATTTGTGATAATTATGTAAAATTGCACACAAAAATAATTGCCAGTTCGGCGGAAATGCCATGTGCGGTCAAAGCCATGTGATCATTTTCAGCGTCAGCAGTTTCAAGGTTGCCTGAACAATGTATCATTTTAACATCAACGGGACATCCTCTCCGTAATACATCACCTTATACCTATTACGCCTGAAGAACATGATTACATGTTTCATCGAGATGCTTTAAATTTAATGTACAGGAGTGATAGTTTATTACACATCTGCTTATGTGATCCAAAGAATTTCTGCAACATTTCAATGTGTCCCTTGTCCACTAGCTACTAGCACATAGCAGATCGCTTATTTGATATATAAATAAAGGATACGTAATTTATGCATCATGTGATGTTTTCAAAATTTGCAAAGCCTATGAAGAAGCATTTAAGTATACTTTGAACTTGAATGGTGGAAAAATTATTAAGCAGAAATATAGTAGAAATATAGGCATTAAATAAACTGGAAGGACAAAATCTGTTCGCGTCTTTAAATGAACATCTTCTCGAAGCTGCCCCAGTGCACAACCATACTTTACATTTAATAACAGCAATTATCAGGCAATAATTGTACATAAGATACATTCAGTTTTGCAAATAATTCAGTATCTATGCGTCAGTTGTATACAAAACTTATCTTATTTTATGGTCATTAACTAATAGAGAAAAAATATCAAACTCAAGCGGTCTGTCATTTTTAAAAAACATTTTATTTAGCAATATCTTTAATTGATGACTAAACGCAAAAACAAAATTATGAATGAAAAATCTTTGTTGGTATATACATATATTGTTGAATGAAACGTAACTAGTTTTTATTTCTTAGTCTAATCTCTACATATAATAAAAGAAAGGGTTTGTGTGTCTTTCGTTCGTGCTGCGCGTAAGCCAATAGACCCAGACTTACGAAATTTGGTACATAGGTGCATCTAGACCAAGGATGTCAAACTCGCGGCCCGCGGGCTGCATGCGGCCCACAACAAATATTTTTGCGGCCCGGCCAATATAAATAATAATATATAATAATAAAATAACATATCGACGAAGAAAAAAATTAAATGTTTACTGCTAAGTAATTAACGATAATTTATTCAGTGTTGTTAGATTACCCAGCCATATGCAAATGGAGGTGATCGAGATTCAATGCAACTCAAATTTGAAAGCAAAATTCATTGAAGTGAGCGTGCCTGAATTTTACAAATATTTACCAGCCAGGTTTGAAAATACTCGAAAATTCGCATATGAAATTATTTCCATGTTTGGTAGCACTTATCGGTGAGAGAAGTTATTTTCAGTCATGAAAGGTAATAAGTCTCCTATTAGAAACGCTATTAATGATGCTCATCTTGGGTCAGCGTTTGAAAGTTATCACTGCAAACAAAATTTCTCCCGAAATAGGAAAGATAATAGCAGAGAAGAGATGTCAAGTATCAGGACGTAAACATTAAATTTTTCTTGTTCTTTTCTATATAAATATATATATATGTTTATTATTGTATTATTCGAAAATAAATCTACGTTTCTATTAATATTTTTTATTTTTTTTTTTTTATTTTTTATTTTTTTATTTTTTATTTTATTATTTTTTTTTATTTTTATTTTTTTTGCCCGCCTAAAGTTAACCTTGTTTGTTTGGCCCAAGTGTACCTATGAGTTTGACATCCCTGATCTAGATAGTACATAGGTGCCAGTATACCTCGAAGCGATTTTTTTCGGAGTTTTTTTTTTTTTTTTTTTTTTAAATCTTTTTTGATGAAATCGCATCATTTTGAATAGTTTCATTCTTTTAGAAATATGGTTTTGGCAACAGTTTTTCATTCAGTGCTTTATATACTGGACTGCTGACTGTTGAAAATATGAGATCGCAATCTTCTTATTACGACGCGCATGTGTCTCGCGAGGCACAACAGAAAGAATTTCCTTTTTTTCCTCTCTCTCTCGCTCTTTATTAGCTAATGGCGAAGAGGTTTGTATATTTTGAATTATGTCATCCACAAAGCACAATTTTTATTGGTTATTGCTTTTTGATGATAGTTTCATTCTTTTAGAAATGTGGTTCCGGCAATAGTTTTTCATTCATTGCTTTGGATACTGGACTGATGACTGCTTCCTCTTAAAAATATGAGATTTATTGCTTATTTCATTGTAATTTTTTATATTATGTTTTCATTATATATAATTTTAATTACATAAAAAGTTTTGCATGATTTTTTTTAGAAAACAAAGTTTTTAACTTTCTTTATACCATTTGAATTCTTAAGATTTTTGCAACGGAAAGTTGGTTAATTTATTGACTAGAATAATTAATATTTGTGCTAAGGAATATAAGTGCTTATTTCATTGTAATTTTTCTTATTATACAGTCAAAAGTCGTTAATCCGGACTCGTCGGGACTTCGGCGATTCCGGATTATCAATTTTTCCGGATTATAGATCATCAGTTTAAATCGCGTAAGATGGCATGCAGAAATTCTAAAATTAAAAATATGAAACCTTAATTTATGAAATAAAGAACAATTATGATCTAAAGGGTATCAAAATTTACAAAAAAAGCTTAATATTTATTTGTTTACTTTATTAAACATTTCTTTCAATGTAAGTTGTTTAAGTTGCTTCGTTTTATGTGATAATACTTTCTCTTTAATTCTAAAAACAGACATAATTTTTTGTTCACTTTCAAAGTTCCGCTGTTCAAGTC